CCCAGGGCATGAAGCAGGCATAGAGGAGATCCAGGCCCCAGACATCCAGAGGCCAGAGTGTGAGAGCTCAAGGAGGACCGTTGGAGGGGCAACTGCTCTCTACCAAAAACTCCTGAAGGTGAATGTCCAGCCATCAATTCAATGCCCTGAAACGCAAGCTCACTTGCATCATACAGCAGGGAAATAATCTGAAAACCACTAGGAGGTCCACCTCTGAATCGCTGAAAAAGATAAAAGGAAGGTTTTGAAGCTACCTAATTAGTCCAAGACCAAAATTAAATCTGAATGAAAAGCGTTGGTATGACCTTAAACTGGCCACTCACGCTTGAAAACCTTCAAATGCGCCTGAAATGAACATTTCCCCAAAGTAAAGTGGGCCAAAATGCCTCCACAGTGACGTAAAAGACACATTGTCAGTTATCACAAATCCTTAATTGCAGTCATCATCAGGTTTCACAAAGAGCCTGGTAGGGTGGGTTGGCTTTTTCCCATAATAAATTAAATCATCATTTAAAAATTGCATTTTGTATTTCCTCAGGACATCTTTGCCTAATATTACTATAATTTTTTGATTATATGCAATTATATATATATTATATATATTATATATTATATATATATATATTATATGCAATCACAGCAATCCCACATCAGATTCCCCCTCGATTCTGATATCGGTAATACAGGAAACAAAGGAAAATGTTTTTGACAATAGGTTATGCATGCATGCATAAAGTACTGTCGCTAATATCATCCAAAGTGCTGGTAGAAGGTCATATCCATCCAAGATATAAGGTGCACTTGTTCCATCTGGAAGAAGTAAAGAGTAATATCTGCAGGCAGTCAATACAGCTGGCTGCTGGCAGATTTTTAAATCAATCAGATATACACAGCACACTTGCTCCACCTGGAAGAGAGTAAGGAGAATGCAGTCAAATTATCATATCGGCAGGAATGCCTTCTACAGTATGTCACTCCTCTCTGTTTGAGTCCATTCACACTGCCACGGTTCACTGTAAAATAACTAAACTATGAACTCGCTCACATGCATTCTGGCCTTACACTTCATCTGCTGCCAATTTATATTGAATTTGTGTCTTTTACATCACTGTGGAGGCAACCTTTGTGGAAGTTAAGAGGTTAAGGATCCAGTTATAAGCTTACATATATCTCACTGTTATTTGCTGTTCTATGTAAAGGCATCCAAACACTAACATAATATTTAAAATATAACCACTGGATGCCTCCCTGATTAATGAGCTAAGAAATGACCCCCTGCGTTGCACGTGTTGAAAAGCCAGACCATGTTTCCAAAAGCGATTTTATGCATTACATAAGCTGTTGTACAAATCAGGTTCTTTCATGATTTGTTCTTTGTGTAGAGATAAAACAAGAGAGTAAATGTCACAGCATTTATTTTGATTTGTTAATTGTCACTTCAGACGACGAACATCAGTTATACTCAAACACGGCGTATACATAATGTTATGTTTAATCTCAAGAGTCGTACATTCCTTGTTAAATGAAGGAGAAATAAATAAAAAAAGTAAAATGTTGAATAAAGGTGTGATTAATCATTGTGTATTAGACCCAAATGCATAAAATATTTGACAGACCTGGCTTAGCTGTTGTGAAGCACTCTCACTTTCTCATTGTACAGATTGCATGTGTACAGCTGAAGTGTTTATCTCACAGAACCATAAATCATAAACTTTGTGAATTCAAACACGATATCAGAATATTGATCCAGCGTGTTAAAATCTGCCTTTCACTATCGTGTCCCAATTAGAGAAAGAAAAGGTTATATTGTTAGACATCAGATTTATATTTTTTTTTGTGCCATTCACAGCTTTTTGTGATGGCACTGCATTTTGTCTACTTGAGACTCACTGTAGAGCATTTCAGTCATTTCTAGATTGGTTAAAGTGTTTTTGTCTTCAGCAGCCTGGAGTATATGCACTGAATCGACCTGCCTCAGCTACACTTGGATGATTTGTTCAAAATGTTAGATTGGTGTGATGGACACATTCTTCTGTGAAGCTGCATTTAAACATTTCTCTAACAGTCTGATTCAGCTCTGCTTCCTTCAGGACACACACTGGAAATCTTTGATACCTTGTGTGATACCTCTTTAAAAAAGAAACACATCTGTCTAGCAGAGGATGATCTGTTCTGTCACTACACTTTACACGCTGTCATACTGAGTCCCTTTAATGTCTTCTGACATGTACTGTGCTTGTCGTTTTACTAAATTTAGTCAGCTATTTCTATTCTGGTACAGTTTGCTTTATAGAGCTATTTTAATACATGAAGCCACTTATTGTATTCAGCTGTTTCACTTTATGTACTATTCATTTATTTTATTCATTTATTTTCACTTTTATTGTAGTATCTAGTTAGTGAGCTCTTCATTGCAGCACATTCAGTTTTTTACATGTGAAATACACTAATATATCGTAAGACCTGTTTAAACAGTTGGAGGTTGACAGAATTACAACAAATTGTGAATAAATAAACATCTTAGCGAGTAGTGGCCTGGCTGTGATAGAGGAGGATGTGCTGAGGAGTAAGCAGGAGAAAGGAGAATAGAGGATGCAAAAGGGTGCAGGTGATGGATGATGCAGCATATAAACTGGTTCAAAGGAAGGTCAAAGAAACAGGAGCGACAGGACAGAAGCAGTGATTCCCCAAGATGACTTTTTTAT